AAAGATCTCACCGCCTTGGAGATACGCCAACGCCGGGCAGCAAAAAATGCCAAGGGTCTGTAATATTTGCCATTTGAACTAAGGCTACAAGTGCTAGGGGGTCTTCAGCGGACAATATGGGCGATTGCGCGGGGATTTCATTTTGTAAGATCCCAACCACACCTGCCGCTCCGTGCTAGAGCTCAGTCATAACAGCAATTTGAGAGGTTAACAGGTCAAACTAGCAGAGCAGCACATTCACTTGGAATACCGTCGGAATTTCGTTTCTGTACGCGTTTGCAGAACGTGGAATGCCCTACTGGAATCAGTCATATGTGCTCGCACGCTGGCAGAGTTCAAAGCCCGAGTTGACCCTGTACACATTTCGCCTGACCATCTTACATGACCCATTACCCTTGTATAAACACAATTTTCTTTAAGAGATTTAAACGGCGGTCAATTCCCAGATTTTGTTCCACCTTTTTCACCTCCTGTATGTGTACACCAGAAGACACGATTTTTAACAACCTCCATGTTGCCGTCATTTCTCATACATTTACCATGGATTTACAATATGTACTACGTATACTTTACTGATCTCACTGATGTAAACCCAAATCTCATAACAATTATTTTATATTTTGTAGTTGCACCATAATCACTCCGCGGGACCTGTTAACCATTAGCTTCTTTACCCGTATAAAACCATTGTTGCACTGTGCTTGTTTAATAAACGAATCAGTGCCACTTAGGTCGGTTACTAGCTATGTCATCAACTGTATCCAAATAAACCTGGTCATCATCTTTCGGACCCCCAACCACGGAGCAGAGACGCTGCAACCGAGGCCAGCTTCGAAGTGAGGATCTTAAACTGTGGGGAAGCTATTGTCCAACTGTGCTACAAATAGTGTGCAATCAGAATCATGGAGGAATAGGAGAAAAGTATGAATCAGAAAGAAATGGAAAACAAATAACTCACAACGTTTAAATATTTTCAATGTGCTTTTTTCGAGTGATTAAGGAGGCCACCGCAACACTCCGATACACACGTCCGCCACTGAGATTGTTATTGAGCCATAGCTTTCAAGGTCGCCAACCAGTAGTTATCTTCCTCTCTCCGACCCGAACCAGTCAGTGAACAACAGCCGGCTGAGGCCAACTGTTTCGTCAGCTTTTTCATGCTGCTTCTGCAAGTTGTGGGCTGTCCTACAGACCGTCTCTTGCAGTCCTATCCAACATGTGTAAACCATGCACAACAGGGATAACGCTGGACAGGCCTTTGTAATAAGTGTCCAAACCACCGCAGTCAGTGTATTGAGGCGAGCTCCTCGAGTGAGTGGCTTTCTCATCCCAAAACAGGCTGTCTTACTTCCACATTACTTACTTAGTGCCACCACCAAACGATCAATGGTGCACAGGCAACGGTGCTCCAAGACGGCTAGTCTGTGTAAGTCAACGGTACGAATGTTTCAGGTATCGTATCCGTACAACGGTGTAGTATGAACAGTTACACAAAAGACCCGCCAACGGATGAAGAGATGAATGTCGTGAAGACACCATAAATGCCTCAGTCTAGAAAAGGCGAGGTGTGCTCCAGAGATGCACAACAAAATCTCGTCTCCAACAGCCCCGCCAGCATTGATGCAACTTCCCAAATAGACAAGACGCTCCACAACAAGCTTTTCACTACCAAGTGACGGCAGGCACAGGCACTTGGCAGTCTTAAAAGGGAACCTTGAATTTGGATGGCGAAAAGTACATACCACACTTCGATACCTCAATCGCCGCACGGCTTAGTGCAAGTTGGACGACATGTGGATCGTCACCCAGCAAGAGGATATCATCAGCATAGTTCAAATGAACAACCCGACTATCTTGGAGGAGAACAACGCCAGCGTTCAACAAATCACCTGGAGCATTGTTTAAGACATCCTCAATGGTAAAATAGAATAGGAATGGAGAGACAAGACATCCTTATCGATCTTCACCGGTGATCACGAAGGGAGGTGAAAGTTTGCCAAATACCCTAACTGTGGCCGAGGTAAGATTACAGAGAGCGCGCAGTATGGAGATGGACTTATCGGGGATGCTATTGCTCAACAGGCGGTGCCACAGTACAGTTCTATCGACAGAATCGGAGACTGCACGGATATCCATGAACACAGCAATCATTGGCGTTTGATACACATGGCGGAGCTCTAGGATCCGGAGGAGTATGAACATTTGATAAATGCAGCCGCAATCATGATGAAACTCAGCTTGTTCTTCTTGCTGCAGCGGTTCGCGTATTGGGAATAGCCTGCAGAAAAATACAGTCGGTTGAAGTGTCGAAGAAACTTCTTCTCGCTGCCTGTTTGCCAAACGTGGAGCACCCACTCAGAAGCTGTTATTTCAGCCCCCATGTTAGTCGTATTCAAAGCACGTGTCGACAGTGCACTGGCCACCCGACACCGTATCACATAATCCAAACGACCCAAACAAACAGCAGAAAAATAAGCATGAAACAACCTACCTCCATTTCTGCTCTGAAATCACAGAGGATAAGTTTGGATAGTACATAAAATTCACAGGAATGCTGCAATCGGCAAGTTCGCAATTTGCAGTTATTCACTATTTCCCGTTGCCATTTTTGCCTTTAATTTGCTCACCCCTAACCGATCATCCGGCGGGACATGTCACGTCTAGACTTTATTTATCCGCAATATATCACTGAGCATTGACTATACACCGACTGCGTATTACCTACAATTGACGGATCCAGTCAAGCAGAGCAGATACAAACCTGGCACTCAACGCAACCAGAAACCAGATAGATCAGAGGCGGCAGGTTCAGGGTTCCCAGAAAAGCGCAAGCGGCATGTGACGCTGGGGCTTACCGGGAAGTCCATTCTGGTGACAGGGCTAGAGTCTTGCAAGCAGATTTTCAAAAGGCAAAAGATGTCCACTTAGAGCGTTTCAAGAGTACTGGAGAGAGATACTTGTCGTCAAAGCTGCATCAAAGTGCGAACACTAAACGCTGCGAGGATGAATGGAGAACTAGGTTGTAGGATAGCTGGGATTCAGTAGAGTGAGAGACGGTTTCTATTGCAGGAGATTAAAAACCAGGAGTTTGAGTGGTACTTCCTTTGGTTGCGAACAGTGGGTAGTTTGTGGCTGTGACTGGGGTGGACATAAGAGTACGTGTAAGCGAAGGACTGGAGGTGGGGTGATCTGTGAGTGGAGGTTTAGGAGTTGAGTTAGCAGAGCTGCTAGACATAGCTGCGAAAGCAGGAGTAGCGATGCGGTCCATGATTGGCCAGTGGACGTGATACTACTCAAGCAGAAGTAGAGGGTTAGCTTAGGGGACCATACCCCGAGACTTTGATCAAAAATCTGGTGTACAAGGCGGCAGGACGATTTGAGGGCCACGCATACGTTGGGAGTAGATGACCAAACAAATGGTTCATGCGCTTTTCGGTCCGTGAAGAACCATGAGCCCAAAGTAAACGTGAAGTACAATTTTGTTCAGGGAGAGGCAAGAGGCGGTGACTTCATTTAGTGTCGAGTCACATCCAATACGTCACAGCGTTGTAAGACGGACATTTGTGGCTATTTATAGGGGGTTCGCTTGCCAGGCAAAACCCACCACGTCCTGCATCACTGCCGCCGAACCATTTGCTGGAACGGGAAATCTCCGAACTCACTCAGCTGACACCAAGAAGAATTTCGGAAAGCCAGCCAAAGGTATAAACAGTACGCCGTTATGCAATGCCGACACTTGGCTGTCGAGTAACCACTACAGTCGTAAGTGGGCTAAGGATATTGAAAGGGTAGTCTTGCCCCTACGTAAGCTCGAACCCCCCTGTCAGATTACAAGAGAAGCATGTTACCTTTAGAATACGGGCCGGTACAAGTGTAACAACAAAAGCAGCAATCAAAAATAGTCAATAAGTATGGCTTCAAGTTTCACCTGGAAATGAAATCGTCTAGATTAAGGCTAACACAGGCTTATATTGGATTATACAGGATCAATTAGAAAGAGGAACAATCATTAGGTCGCACGAACTAGTTGGTTTCATATGTGCGATCTCCGGTCATATCAACAATGCAATGCATGTGGTCCACTGGGGTGTACCTTAAGCACCTAGTTTGCAGGTCATGATTCAGACGTCAGAAGGGGGTTAGATTAAAACATTGCAGAGCATTGATAACATCGAGCGTTACCACGTGAAGAGCTAATCAAGTTTGAACTTGGAAAACTAAGTCAACATGCGCACGAGTGAAGGTGGATCAGTCACATTCACAAACTGCGGAATAAACACGAATGAAGGTCACATCGGAACACATAAGCTGCATTGAGAGTAAAGGAAAAGAAAAGTTGGTTTGAGACAAGGAAGAGTTGGGTAGATGACAGTAAGAATCACAGCCAGTGGATCAATGCGTAGGGCAAAGGTGTTACAGGACAGGGCATTTGGGATTATTCTACATTCTGGTTGATACGAAGTAGGATGAAATGGCGCTACCTCCATTGTTAGTCATGTTGGCCTATGGCCAATATAAAGTGAGAGTTTGAGCGAATGTTTTCGGTCCACCCAGATCCGGGCTATGTGGCAGAATTGCGTTCACCTCTGCTGTAAACTGCAGTCGGCATCTGACCACTTGTGTGTACCGTTCGGGGTACTCAGTAGGTTGGTATGAATACGTCATACGAATTGATTTGTTGACCGGAGTGTTCAGTTAGTTTCTACTAGTGTCTTCGAAGCGTTTATGAACGAGGGAAATCATAGGCCTATAACTTTTAATTTGGGCCATTTTGGTACAACTGACTGGGAGTTCGTCAGTAGTATCATAACTGCCAGCTACGCAACAGCTCGTAAATGTGTTAAACAATCAATTATTCCTATCCGAACACATCAGATTCATTGCATCCACAATGAAGAAGTGGCTGTCTAGTGCGCGTCTAGATCTACAGAAAGTAGCCTGACGTGTAAGTAACTGGGGAAACACATATTAATCACAAACTCACCGAAAGCCACAGGTCCATGTCATCGATTAGTGTGCGTTTGAATGCGGTCAATCACGCCATTGAGTGGATCATGGAATTGTCAGTGGTCGGTGCGGTCTTGTTCAGTTTCATCAACATATGCGTGGGCATATTTTGCTTAACCGATGCCATAACTGCGGATCAGCTACGACTCATTTTAAAGCGAATCGATATGGGCGCCAGACACTACAGCTTACTCGGCGTACACTACTCTGGTCTTTGTGTAATAGTCGGCGAGACGGTCGGAATAACGTCATGCCTGTTTTTGCTTGCATTCATTGTGTATAAAATGCCACAGCGGGAGAAAGAGGAACATGTGGATGTGTTGTGCGATCAGACAAACGCTACGGAGGAGACATTGTGTCTAGAACGGTTAATAGCGGAATCCAATCTACAATCGTTCTTGAAACAGTTGCAGGTAGAGCGGATAACAAACTCCATCAGTAGTTACCATCAAAAGCTGCGAAGAGAACTTCAGCGGTTTCAACGCGATGCTGGCACATTTGAAACCGTATGGACAAGGAAGCGTGATGCGGGATTACCGGATGAAAAGAGAATGGAGACGTTTTTGCTCTCCCCTGTACAAAGCTTTGATGCTCCCGATAGGACACAACCAGACGAAAGTGAAGTGGATGTTTATGTAGGAATCGAGCAGGCAACATGTGAATGGGTGAGTCAAGATGCGCAGGAAAAGCATCACGGCAGAAGCAGAGATGGGGAGGTAACCACCAGTTGCCTTGGAGACCACCATGCCAATGAAGCAACGGAAATTCACCTCACTTTAACTGTGGATTGTCGTCGACAAACGGCGAGTTACAAGCGCTCAGTTCATCTGGTCGTGATGTTTAGCTGTATACTGCTGGTCATCTGTGTTCCCTATCATTTTCACCTTATCACTTTACATGCATTGCGTAGAACGGTGCCATTTACTTTACTGAGAGTGGAGCGTTCAATTACAACCAGCGAAGGTGCACGAGGTGCTGAAGTCGATGAATTTCGCAAAGCATTTTATGAAACCTTCAAGTGTCAATCACTGTTTAATGAAACCGGGTGCTCAGTTAGCGTACTTATTAATGAATTCGGTGCCCCAACACTTGTTCGGGAATGCCACGGCAAGCCAGAGACGATCCAGTTAACAGAGATAGATGCGAGTTCCTCCACTCAGGATTGTTACCAGCAGATAACTCGATGGATTGGAATGAGGCAAGCGTCAGGTGGATTTCGTGTTGCGTTGGCTCTGCTGATGTATACAGTGAGCATCAGCTTGAATATTCGTCGACTCGCTTTGCTAAGCTCTCAAGCCTCTGTGCAGACGTATCCAAGACAAGAATGGTGGAGAGGAGTTGGCGAGAGGCATGAACTGCCTTTCAACGTAGGAGTGCAGTGTGACATTGAGGAGCGAACTGAGACACGGAACCGAGCTCGTGGACGACTGGCAGAGCTGTATTCATGGAATTCCCGTAGCCGGTTGCTGGATAGAGGCCCCAAGAGCATCCGGCGTGGATCGCGATTATGGCACACTGGTGATTGAACAGACGTGTCTTAATGCGTGCTCCCTTTAAATGGCCTAAACTAATTTTTACAGAACGGCACGCCTCGGTACATGCTTCTTCATGCATAGTTATGGTGGTGAACAATTACCAACCATCTAAGGCCATATGATTTATTGTCGTTCTTGATGAAGGGAAAACGTGTGAATAGAACAGAAGAGAACATGATCCATGGATGAAACAAGCTTTCGCTTAATGAGCCTCCTGTTTCGTGTGCCATTGAGTGAAACAGAGCCTCCAGCCATTCGCCTTGATAGCATGTTCTTGCCTAAACTACCAGCACGTGTTCAGAGGATTCCATGAACTCCCAGAAATTCGGGGAACAGGGCTAATCAATGTTCTTTCTGCGTAGCTTAAAATCCCTTGCCATTTTAAGCTCCAATAATGCACTAGTTCCGCTACCGGTGCAATTACAATATCACTGGAGAAAGAACAGACCAACACTTATCTAAGCCCTTTTGAAGACTTCTACAGACTCATTCCACTAAATCAGAAGGAAGTTTATCCCAGGTGTTAACTACTCGGTTCGTAAAAATTTTGTCGTTATGTCCAAACGAGCTCTACGTTGTTTGAGCTTCAGGCGATGCCCGCGCAGGTGGTCTTACATAGTTAACTCAAACTAAGTCCCTTAATGATCTTTAACATCTCTATCAAATCCCCTCTCAACCTACGCCGTTCCAAGGAAAATAATCCCAAGCTACTTAGAGGATCTTCGTACGGCTTCCCTCGTTGACCTTCGAACATGCAGGTCGCAGGTTTCTGAATCTTTTCTATACACATGGCGTCACGAGGGAGGTACGGTGTCCAGGTCTGAACACAATACTCCAGATGTGGCCTAACCACTGTTCTATATAACGGAAAGAATACTTCTGCTTTAGTGTTACTCAGCGCCCTCATAAGAAGAAATAATTCTTGTCGCGCTTTATTGGCAGCATGGCGACACTTTGCCGAAGGCTTAGAAATGTTCACTATGATGACACCTAGATCGCGGGCTTCATCAGTACACTGCAATGACAGATATCCCGCAGGAGACTGAACTGCAATTCCACTGCCACTGCGGTGTTATTTCTTGGAAGCAGGCGCCGATTGAGAGATCTGATCGCTCAAATGTCAAGTTATCTCCTGTGGTCTACAGCAAAATAAATCATATATAGAGCTCACTCGTTGTACAGGGCGTAGGTATAAAAGCAGGCAATGTTCACCTCACAACATACAGAGGCTGCGAGAAATGACTGCATCTACACACATTAGTATGTTCCTTGACAGTGATGTAAATAAGTACGAGCTACCACGACTTTGTTTTGATACCTGCTATCCACTAGAAACAATGGAAATCTGTGCTTCATCTATGCGTCTAAAACGCCTGTGCAGACTCAAAGAGAAAGCTTTCCGACAAAGTGACCATGTTGCAGTGGCACAGTCTAAACCGTTTATATATCCAGACCATTCGCAGAACACAATAGCTGCCGAGAGGTCTGGCGGATGCTGAAACAACTTAGTGGTGTCTCTCACTGAGTGTCAAATCCAGACATCACCTTGAACATTTGAACCGAAAATTTTTTGTTTCGATGTCAAATGCACTTGTACCCTTCCTCCTCCCGACTGGACAGTCCCACAATCTCTTCACCTGCAACTGACAGGAATACAGTTATCAATCAACTGCTGAAGTTAACTTCTAACAAAACAAGTGGCCCGGACGGTGTGTGCTGATTCATTGACCGAGCCTCCTGCTGAGTTGTACACTTCGTACACATACAGGAATGTAACATTGCCAACTGTTGGAGTAATGTTAAAATTACACCGGCGTCAAAAAGAAAGGCGCAGATAAATACCGGCCAATTGTTTGCACCTCAGTAAACCTGAAGATCTCCGAGATGATACTTGAAAAGAGGATGACTAAAACACATTCAGGTGCTCCGCTTCAGTTTGCTTATAGTAGATCGAGGTCTACTGAAGACGCACTAGCCTTTCTTGTATATTCACTGCTGGTGTCACTGGATAATAGTAATAAATTCGTGCCAATATATTTGCTCGACTACAGCAATGCTTTCGGCAGTGTAAACCGTTAGCTTCTTTTGCGAATCCTATTTGATACTGGAATCCAATGTTCCACTGTCCGCCTGCTGAAGGACTATTTCTCTTGATGTGCCCGGTTTACTCAACTTGGGGGTGAAAGTTGCCCGCTACACACCACAGCCAGCGAAGTTCTCCAAGTAGCAATACGGTCACCATATTATTTTCGCACTTAAATCGTCTCTTTATACGCCCCTGATGAGACGATATCGCTGAAATATGCAGATGAGGTGGTCTTAGGTATCCAGCATCCGACCTCAGCCATAAGCTAAATGTCAGTTATATGTGTTTTCACACCAATAAGTTTATAAATGATCCTTCCAAATATCCATTTGAAATACAGAATGACGTAACAATGCCATCAATCAAGTTAGAAGTGTAGCTAGACAAGCTTGTGTTGCGGTCCAGAGCTCAATGTTTATCGCTAGATGTATTAAAATGTACTGGCGTTTTTTCCCTTCACAATGATCGTCCTTACAAGCTAGTTTATTGAATCGCCATAAAGTTCACATAGATGGTGAGAGGTTGCATTCCACCGAGTCTGTGAAGTAGCTAGGTCTCACACTCAGCCGTGATATATCATGGTCACTCCATGTAAATGAAGATTAAAACAAAGTGGAGGCTTTCTGTCGCAAAACTCGGTCTTTCAGGGACAAACGGTTTATTCGGCAAAGCGAGCTCAGCAAAAATGACAATCTGACAAGCATACAGGAAACTCGATATAAATAACTAAGCCTGTTCCATAAGTAACGACGCTGCTGCACTCATGAGTTTCTTCCTTCGAATCAGTTAGTCAAACTCACTCAAGCGAACCAATGAGCACGCAGGCGTCCACTCAACTACTCTGTTCGCTTGCTGCATGCCAGCCGCTTGCTTGCAAAATCCCATCACAGCCTTCGCCTTTTCGGAATCAGCTGCATCGGTGTCGCAGAAGACTCCGTACGCTCTTCCGCTCCGCGTGGTCTTTGCTGCCTCTGTCGTTGCGTCAAGTGTTTTGCTTCAGGTTCACCTTCTAGTTCCCGGTGTCGCCTCAGCTGCACTCGGTTCCTTCTTATTAACTTCCCGCCGGTACTAACTTCATGTGATCTTTATTCAAGCTTAGCGGTCACCACACCTTTATTCCATCGTCCGCTGAGACCCAGTTTTGGTTGGATCCACACTCCATCATTCATGATAGCTCAGGTAGCGCCCGGGTCCCGCGGTCGTAATACCGTTCCGGATCTGCCATCCGTTTTCTTAATGTTCTTCGCAATTTCTCTTGCTATATCTTGACAGCGTATAAGAGTTCAGCGGACGCAGGCATTAGGATTCTTGTCCTTCTGCTGTACCAACGTTGCACTGGACTGAGACCGATCTTCGTTAATGGAGTATTCCGGATCTGTAAAAACATTAGTTACGGGTCCTCATGAGTAGCTCTGGTTTTCAGCAACAACCTATTGGCTTGTTTTACCGATGCCTCCGCTTTTCCGTTGGACTGACTGTGATACGGACTCGTTTGTCGCTGCAACAATTCCCACTTGTTCGCGAAGGTCTGGAACGGAGCACTTGTAAATTGCGAGCCATTGACGGAAAGCATTTGCTCCGGTATTCCGTGACTGGTGAACTGATGTCTAAGCTCGTTGAGGACTGTTTCCGTGATGGTAGTGGTGACTGCATCGATCTCAAAATGGTCACTGTAATAGTCCAGTGTGATTAGGTAGTCTTCACCATTGTCACAGCACAAATTCACTGCTAATTTCTGTCATGGTCGATCTGGAATCTCAAGCAAACCTCATAGGTACCGCGGCTTAGCGAACCTGGTAGGACCGGCAGGCTGAACATCTTGCTACCTGGTCTCGGAGTTGACATGTCATCCCGGGCCAGAACATCCGTTGACGTGCCCTACTAATATTGTAGTTGATATCCAAATGGGATCGAGAAGCGGCGGTGGGATCAAAATGCGATTTCTTTTAAACAGTAAACCGTCATGCATCGTTAGTTCATCCAAAAAGTTGAAAAACGGCTTCATTTTCTTCGGAAGTTTATCCTTTCTATCTGGCCATCACCTCAAAATTACGTCGCGCAACGTTACGCACGTCGCGTCTGCTTCCGTATGATGCTTTCTCTTTTTCACGCGATCTGTCCTTACCGCCAGATGTGGTACCAGGTTTACCGCCACAATTTCTTCCTGTTGGTGTTCGACTATTGGAAGACCAGCTCTTGACAGAGCGTCCGCGATGAAAATTTGCCTCCCCGGTGTGCACACAAGATCCATGTCGGATTTCTGGAGCCGGATAAGCATACATCGAAGAGGTTGAGGGACACTGTGTAACGGTTTACTTGCTAATGACGAGCAGTTTATGGTCAGTATACACCGTAGTCTTCCTTCCAATGGTGTAGTCGCTGAATCGCTCCAGTGCATAGACGACAGAGAGCATCTCCTTTTCGATCTGCACATAGCGCTATTCCGCCTCTGAGTGCCCGACTTCGGAAATCTAAGGGTTCACCATCCTGCAGGAGAACGGCACCTATTCCGAGTTGTCTGCTGTCGCACTGCACTTCCAAAGGAAGAGCTGGAACGTAGTACCCAAGTACTGGTGCACAGCTAATAAGACGCCTGGTGGTTGTAAACGCGGCCTCCTGTTCTTCTCCCCAACTCCATTTACATCTTTGTTTGTCAGTTTCCGGACGTGTGTCATGATTTCAGCAAGTCTTGGTAAGGACGGGCTCAAATAATTCACCATGACGTTTGAGCGAGTAACAGCCTTGACGTACTCAGGTTGTGGCATCCCCTAAACTGTCTTGATTTTCCAGGGATCGATTCTTATTCCCTCGGATGTCAGAACGTGCCCGTGGAAAACTGCTTCCGGAGCTCAACTTTCTCGTGTTTGAGCTTTAGGTGCTTTTGCACGCGGCATTGTAAGAAGTG